CTAATTCAGAAGGTTAAGCAACTATAAAGTAATGTAGCAGGACACAGTTCTTCTAATCCCAGCCCAATTAAATTACCAAGTACATGCCACAAACACCTTCTTGTATTTGGGAGGTATTTGTACCTCCCAAAGAAATACAAGTATTTCTTGTACTGGGAGGCAAGGTAATATAATACTGAAACCTCTAAAGGGAATAAGCTGGCCAAGTAGATTTTATCTCACTCGCCAAATCTGGTCAATTAGAAGATACCACCTAGACTAACAATCTGACCAGTAGGAAAGACATTGTTACAGATTAGTTATGTTTGCCATATAATAGGAAACAGGAAGTTGTGGCAGAGTATTTCCCAGTCCTCATGAAAGTCATTTGGAAACCTAATGGGTGATACCAGAATTAGGATTTTTTTCAATGTGGAAACAAAACAAAGGGGAAGGTGGCAGCTTGGACCTATAGGATAAGATTTGACTTTGTTGTCAGTGCCAAGTCGATTCCGACTCCTAGTGACCCTATGTACAGCAGAGCAGAATGTTGCCCATTTTTGCGTCATCCTCTTATCTTCCAGTGGTGTATCAGACAATACTCCACTGCTATTCATAAGGTCAGACTATCTCTTCCTAAAACACTGGGCAGTTTCCATGATGCAAGGGCCCGAGTTTGGACTTCTAAAACTAAAGGAGTGATGTTTGCAACTCAAGTTGATCACTTCCCACTGCCTCCTTATCAAATTGTGTGAGTCAGACCACAGCTGTCCAGACTCATGTGTGTGCCCTCATAAGAGATTACGTGACGTGACAAGTACACAAAATGTAAATTTACTTTGAGAACACAACACTGAGATGTTAGTCAAAACGTGTGCTTTTCTCATTAAAGGAAATAAAAAAAAAAAACCCTAAACTGTTTTCTTTAGATTCAGTTAGGAAAAGCCCTTACTAAAGAAAATATTTAAAATCTAAGACTGATACACACACATACACTTTTTGAATAAATATACTTATCTTATGGGTGTAACTCCTTTTTCATAATTTCAAAATAAATAGCTCTCACCCATGCTCTTCAAAAGAAAAGAATAAAAATAAATAAGATGGCTTCTCAAGTAACTCCCTAAATTATGGCCTTAAACCAAAATATGTAGTTGTGTAACATATTTTTTAATGCATTGCAGGATATTAAAACTGATATTTTAATGCCAAAAATTTTTAGCCAAGGAAAATCATGTCCATACATTTGGTGAAAAACAGCAGATGGTAAGGCCTGAAAATTAACAGCCCACTTGGAAAAATCTCTACTCCAATTATCTAATCAGTTCTCTCACCTTGGGTCTGATTTCATTGAAGGAGCCACTATTTAAAGTTGCAAATGTTTACATTTTTAAGTAAATAAAATTCTTTTTCTTAGGAAATATTTACTGAACACAAACTAGTACAATGAGATCATGACAAGTCAAAGATGAGTAGCAGATGGCTTGTGCCCTCAAGGTTCTTCAGTACAAGACATAATAAAGATAAAAGAGATACACAAAGAGCTCTAAGGCAAGACAACATGATGGACGCTTTTCGAGGTCAAAAGGCAGGCATATTTCTACTGTGTAGGTGTGTTTGGGGGTGAGGAAGGGACCTGTAGAAGAACCCCTGAAAAGTGTATTTGAGCTAGCCTTTTAAGGATTGGCAGGACTGGGACATGGAAAAATGGTGAGGAAAGACATCCTATGAAAACAAAACAGTCAGTGAGGGCTTGGAATTGAATAAAGCAAGGGATATAAATGAGGAACAGTGAGCAGGTCAGTAGGGCCAGAGTACAAGATTCAAAATAGGAAAAGTGGGAAATGAAACTGGAAACAGGGGTCAATAGCCAGCCATGGAAGAACTTAATGTTAGGCTAAGATATTTAAACTATTTGATAGCATTTTAAGATTTCAAACCAGTACTTCAGAGAGAATAACGTAGAAAACTGCATATATAAAACAGATTTGGGGGAAGGATAAGGAGAATATGGAGGGGAAAAGGTCAGGTAAAAGGCTGCTTACAATAGACCAGGTTTAGAAATAATGAGATCATGCATTACAATGGTGGCAATAGGAGTGGAAAGAAAGGAACAGACATCAAAGATATGGATATTGGGTGATTTCTTTGGCCACTACACCCACCATGCGCCTTATTCCTCAGTCAAACCAAATCTTACCATTCTCCAAATAGGCTCTTTACTGCCTCCATAATTTTATGCCCTAATAGAAATACCTAACTATTAGGTATTTCTTTTAGCCTGTGGCTACTATGAAAAAATACCTAATATTTCCTCTGACTAGTGAATT